CAACAACCAATAGGTCATGCTTTCTTATTTGTAAAAATGGAAGGAGAGTGAAAAGCGTTGAGGCAGACTTCTAGAAATGAAGAATTGACTCAAAGACAGAGGCCCCAGACTTCTGTTAAAACTGAGGACCAGGCTTGTTTTCTTCCTATCAAAGCAAAAGTGCCCGACAGAAAGAGAAACATTAATAAAGTTAAGTGACATAACTAGTCCAGCTGAGAGAAGGAGGACTTGGGGACTTTCCAATTTGCCTGAAGAAGCGTTAACGAAGGAACTCTGGAGAGGTAGGATAAAGGGGCATATTAAAACTGACTTTGTTTTTGTAGATTTTGGTTTTAAATACATCCTAAGAGGTTTGGTTTCTCCTTGAAGATTTTCCTGTTAAAATATAAAAGCTTAATGGAAGCTGTGTTTGAAATGGCTGCACTATGAATTAATCATAGAAGCTGATATTCTTGAGCTGGAACTTGAACTGTTGCCACAAAATTTCAGGCTACTGAGAATATGCAAGCTTTTATTTCCATTTTTCTTGAGGTGAATAATAACTAATGTGCAGCATGCTCTTATATGGCTCCTCTTCTTCATTTTATATATGTGTATGTGAGTGTGTGTATACGGTAAAGCAACATTTTAAAAACATGCTAGTTAGTTTTATGTGTTGTAGAAGTCCCCTCGTTCTGCCAAATAGCCAAACATGCTTGGGCTAAAATATTTGATTAGGAAGGGGGAACCCCCTTCCCCAAGTAATTGATACAGCAGTGCTTCCCTACTGGGTATATCAGCTGAAGGGGCCATCCAAAGTGGTCTGCTCCCTGTCTACCATGCCTGTTTCAGACAAATCTTCCAGCTGGGAGGAATTCAGGTCCTGAATTGGATAAATGCTGAACATCCAGCGCTCCCTATGAACCCAGGACCTTCAAAGATGCAAGGGACAGCACCTCTGGTAGAGGAGGCCTGGCTCTCCCTGAGAAAGGTTGATACTGAGAAAAAAAGGTGACTCCACAGCTGTTGGAGAACTCATCCCCTGATTAGTGGCTTCCTCCAGAGCAAGTGGTCTCTGCTCACAGGGTGACCTGGAGGTAGGTAGCTCATACCTGATGGAGTTCCAAGCAATGGCAGTTTCAGCCACAACATGTAACCCTCTGACTCCTTAGGGTTCAATGCTGGGAATCACTTGTTTACTTCGGTGTGTTCTTTGCTGATCAGAACATGCTTACTGGATGCCCTGCTATAAATGGCCCGGGCTGTCTTTCTTGAGCTTTGCATTTCTTTACTACCCAACTCCCGTTCTCTTGGCCAGCTATTAATCTTGGACTATAGACCTTGGCTTGGAAGCTGCTAGTTTGAATGAATGCCAACCATCAGATTTGCTCAGCTGCTTGCCCAGACTGTAGGCTGCTTAACTCCTTGAAATCCTCTTGCCATTCACATATTTCAAAGATACTGTACCTGCTAGTAGTTAACTGGTGGGAAAAGGAGACCATGCCCCTGCCCCTTTAGTGGAGGTTCCACTGGCACAGTTTGGGGGAAATGGGGCATGCTGGGAGTGGGCATATGGATGTCACATCCTAAGCTGCTTTCTTTTCTCAGCATCCTCCAAGACAAGATGCAATATCCTGGAACGGCCATAATTAATGTCTTACCACATCAGCCAATGGGAGAAAAAAGAGGAAGAAAAGTTGCTTCCAGCTGTTGCTTTGTCCATCACACAACATCAGGGCACAGGATGTGGTGAGTGTTCCACCAGCAAATCTCCTCCAGTCCTGTCTGGCAGCATGTTTGTATTTTTGCATTTTTAGTGGGGGACTTTTAGTGGGTGGGGAGTGTTTGGGGATGTTTTATGTGTGTGCATGTGGATCTGGTCTCTGGGTGTCTGTGTAAATTTCATTGTATGTATATATATATATACATACATACACTATGTATAGACTTACAATGACAATAAATTATTTGAATTGAATGTCTGTTTCTCTTCCTATGTAGTTTAAATATTATGTTCAAAGGAATTTAAAGCTTTGCTGTGACCTTTGGGGAAATAAACTTGTAAATATTTGAAGACACACATTTACCGAGTCGGAACTGTTCATTCAACCTTGGATAAATCTGGTGTAGAGTTCAGCTACATTATGCCCACTGAAATAAATGGACCTTGTTACTCGCAAGTAAAGTAGGCTTCATTGATTTCAGGGCATCCATTCCAGCTGAGATGAACAATGAATTGTAGCTATTGTTCTAATCAGTGATGGACAAAGTGTGCCCTTCCTGGTATGATGGGCCACCGCTTCCATCTGTTCTAGGCTGTATAACCACTGTTGGTAAAATACTGGAAGTCCCAATCCAGTAACATTTTGTCTGTCCTCAGTTTAAATCTCAATTAAAAATTTAACAGAACTGAAAACTTAGCACTGACTTTTTAGTGTTATCAAGAGTTTCATATTTAATTGTCCTTTCTCCTTCAGTTTGATACAAAATAAATTGTTTCTGAACAAAAAATTTAATGAGGGAAAAACATAATTTCTTAAGGGTAGATTTTAGGGTTCTTCTGCTTATCCTACTTGCAAGGTGACTGAAGTGTGTGTGTGGTGCAATGCCTAACTTTTATTATACAATCCCTCTAGTATCTTGCAGCATCTCTGACTTTCTCCACTTCAGCTAAAACCCAGGAGTAGACATCATGAGGCAACTTCTCTCCCATGGGCACTTTTTCAGATTGGGATGTGTGTGTGTGTGTGTGTGTGTGTGTGTGTGAGAGAGAGAGAGAGAGAGAGAGAGAGAGAGAGAGACAGACACCACACCTTGGCCAAGTTGCAAAGTTGCAGGGATAAGGTAAATCAGAAGGTACAGGCAAAAGACATTCACGAAATGAAACCCAAACCAACCAACAAAACCAAGGGGCCCTTTCATGAACAGAGAAGAAATGGAAAATGGAGGATGGATTTTGGCATCACATCAACTCCTTCCTGGAACTGGACACCATGCCCTCCT